TTTTTTTTTTTTTTTTTTTGAAGACGGGCTGCAGAACATATTCCTTGAAAAGAATTTTCTTTATTAAAAACTCTTTTGCTAAGATGAAACAGCACTGAATGTCAGCACTACCATATATTTATTCTGTAACTCTTCCAACAGCTGAGATCTATAAAAGAAACATATTTTCAAAACAGTTTTAACCTCCATTGTCTTGATCACTTGCATTAACATTTTTCATGTCACTTATTGAAATCATTTAAAGGAACCTTTTATTCAGTCAGAATTAACAAACTCTTTTAAAAAAAAAAATCCACTGAAAAGTTAAAAAAAAGAAAAAAAAGAAGGCATGTTGTGCATTTGATTTGACGGATATTTTCAGCCATCTCTCATTTGTAGGATGAGAGCAAATTTTCCTTCGGATGTTATCGACTGAGGGAGGAGGGTGATTTGGAGAGAGGCAAACAGCGTCTGTGCACGCCCTTTAAATAAGGAATAAAAAGTGCAGCGTTGATTTGAGCGCTCCAGTTGCACCTTTTAGTGCCGTGGCATACGCAAAGCTGGGGGCCAGCTGTAAAATCATAGCTTGGGTCTCACTTTGCCCTCAGATCTGTGCACATGGCTGCCATTTACTTCAAAGGGAGCTGCATACATGCCCAGAATTTGACCTGCACCTCTTCCATCCTCCAGCCTGCACAAAGCTGGAGTCAACGGGCTAAGCGCAGGCAATTTAAATGGAGCAAGGGATACAGAGCCCACCTTCCACAAAGGACTGCCGGATTGGTGAGCGTGCAGGTTGAGATGTCTCGGAGGGCAGATACTCGGTGTTTTCCAAACCTCCAAGGTCTCCTTTTAGGCACCCCAAGTTACTCATTTCTTTGAAAACTGTGGCTACCTGTTTTCAATAGAAGAGCAGGGGACTGGGCAGCCCCTCTGTGGCCAGTCAGTTCCAACACTCAGAGCCCTGCCAAACCCTATTTTGGCTCCCAGCTTCCATGTCTGCTTCCAGGCCAACTTAGGAAGAGCTGTCATGGCATGACGTGCAGAAACTCCCTCGTTTGAAGCAGCGGTCTCATTGACTTTAGTGGTGTTACGTTAGAAAGGACCCATTACTTACTGCAAATAAGGACAGCAGTATGGGGAGTCATCTGAATTGCCATTAAGGTATACAATTAGGGTTGGGAGGGACCTCAGGAGGTCGCATCTAGTCCAACCCCCTGCTCCAAGCAGGACCAGCCCCAACTACATCATCCCAGCCAAGGCTTTGTCTAGCCGGGTCTTAAAAACCTCCAAGGATGGAGAGTCCACAATCTCTCTGGGTAACCTGCTCCAGTGTTTTACTACCCTCCTGGTGAGAGAGGTTTTCTAATATCTAACCTCAACTTCGCTTGCTGCAACTGAAGCCCAGTGCTTGTTTGCCCCCACGGAGACCAGTCCAGCTCCATCCTCTCTGCAGCCTCCCTGCAGGGAGGTGAAGGCTGCTATCAAATCCCCCTCGGTCTTCTCTTTTCCAGACTAAATTAGCCCAGTTCCCTCAGCCTCTCCTCACCAGTCATGTGCCCCAGCCCCTGAACCATTTTGGTGTCCTCCACTGGACTCTCCAATGTGTCCACACCCTTTCTG